GGGGGTCCCCTGGGGCTGGGATGGCCCTGGGAGATGGTCATGGCCAGGGGCCCTCTGCAGCACTGCAGGAGGGAGTTGTGCCTGCCTTGTCCTGCCTTGTCCTGCCTTGTCCTGCTGGGAGGGGACACCACGCCAGCCCCATGCTGTGGACACCACCTCCTAGTGCCATGCCTTGTCCAGCTCCTTTCTCACCATCACCTTCTGCTTCGCTTGCAGGAGCCTGATGCCGCGAACGCTTGACAGCCAGATCACAGTGGAGAAGACCCCCAGCTACTTCGTCACCAAGGAGGCACCACGGCGAATCTTCAACATGTCCCGGGACACGAAGCTGATCGTGGTGGTGAGGAACCCGGTCACCCGGGCCATCTCGGACTACACGCAGACGCTTTCCAAGAAGCCGGACATCCCCACCTTCGAGGGGCTGTCCTTCCGCAACCGCAGCCTGGGGCTGGTGGACACGTCCTGGAATGCCATCCGCATTGGGATGTATGCCGTGCACCTGGAGAGCTGGCTCCAGTACTTCCCCCTCTCCCAGATCCACTTTGTCAGTGGGGAGAAGCTGATCACGGACCCAGCTGGGGAGATGGGCAAAGTCCAGGACTTCCTGGGCATCAAACGGGTTATCACGGACAAGCATTTCTACTTCAACAAGACAAAAGGTTTTCCTTGCCTGAAAAAGTTGGAGAGCAGCAGCTTGCCTCGCTGCCTGGGCAAGTCCAAAGGCAGGACTCACGTACAGATAGACCCCGAGGTGATCGAGCAGCTTCGGGACTTTTATAGACCTTATAATATCAAATTCTATGAAACAGTCGGGCAGGACTTCAGGTGGGAATAAGCGTCTGGGAGCAGAGCCGCGGTGACGTGAGGCTGCAGTCTTCCATGAGGGGGCCCCAGGGGGGCTGAAGCCAGGACCCCCTGGCCAGCCCATCCTGCCCAGAATCCGTGAGCAGAAGCAGGCAAGGGGCTTCCCTGGCCCTCGGGAGGCTGGGATGCTCCAGGCCGAGTCGGGTTGGAGGAAAACACAGAGTCCTGTTGCAGCCACTGAGGGATGAGTGCCCGGCAGGCACTGCCCGTCCTGGCAGGTGCGCAGGGCCGGGGGCCACCACCGTC